CCGCCATTTTTGGCGATCAAGGTATGGAAATTCATCCCTTCTGCATGATCTAGCTGATGGTTGGGTAGGATTGTATCGATTTTGAGCCTAGATTATCTGATTTTCGAGTTAGGGTTCGGCCGGGTTTCGGGATGAGATTCCGGCCACTTTCGGTCAGTTTTTGGGGTATGCCCAAGAACAAAAGTGGCTCCAAATAGGGTGTTACACCTAGGGTAGGAGTCTTGAGCTGAGATTTTGAGATTTTCCGGACAAGCTTAATCACTTTGGACACCCACGCACTGCCAACGCGTGTGGCGGCGCGTGGGCACTGTAGCTGAGGGGCATTTTTGTCCCAATGTGATCCTCAGGTTGTCATGAGCACGCAAGTGTGCTCGGATTTCATTTTGGATACCGTTAGAGTCCCGAACGGATATCGCATATCGCGTAGTTTTCGGGTTCGTTAGGTTTGGACTGTTGGATGGTCCTGAAGTTATAATATGTTGATCTAGGTATTACCAGGATCGTGTAGGATTTGACGGATCGTAAAACGGAGTCCCGGATACTCCGGAAATGCCAACCCTGGGGTTAGGGTTTTAGTAATCGGTCGATTGTGTGATCGTGAGCGATCCGACCGTCCGATTTGGACCAAACTTGCAGGACGTGCATCTTAGAGCTTGTAGAACCTATTGGAACTTTCGGATCGGAAATTGGAGGTTGTGGGCCCCGCAGGCCCGTTTGACCCTAGGTTGACTGTGAGACCTTTGGGATAGTTCTACCTTCCCAAGAGGGTTAGAATGACCATAGAGACAGGTCCTGATGTTATGGGGATTATGGGGAATTATCGGATGCTAGTTGTTTACTAAGGTGTTTATATTATTAGAAATTAATGTATAAAAAGTATGTATGGATTTTATGATTGAATGTTAGTTTGCAGTGCTATATGCACTACCCTATGTACCTCCTCGGATGTTGACAAACCCCGTACGTGGCCGGGTACGTCCCGACGTATGAGGGGGGGATGTGATTGTGTGAGGGCTGGGGAGAATGTAGCCAGGCCCAGTGTGAGGTCGCACGCGTCTTTGGATTAGCCGGCATGTTGACAGACCCAGGGGGGGGCGGGGGGCGTCCAGACGTATGAGTGGGAGATAGGATGGTAAGATGGCTGGTGAGAATGTAGCCAGGCCCAGCGTGAGGTCGCACGCGTCTTTGGATTAGCCGGCGTGTTGACAGACCCCGTACGTGGCCGGGTGCGTCCCGACGTATGAGTGGGAGATATGATGGTAAGATGGCTGGTGAGAATGTAGCCAGGCCCAGCGTGAGGTCGCACGCGTCTTTGGATTAGCCGGCGTGTTGACAGACCCCGTACGTGGCCGGGTACGTCCCGACGTATGAGTGGGAGATGTGATTGTGTGAGGGCTGGGGAGAATGTAGCCAGGCCCAGTGTGAGGTCGCACGCGTCTTTGGATTAGCCGGCGTGTTGACAGACCCCGTACGTGGCCGGGTACGTCCCGACGTATGAGTGGGAGATATGATGGTAAGATGGCTGGTGAGAATGTAGCCAGGCCCAGCGTGAGGTCGCACGCGTCTTTGGATTAGCCGGCGTGTTGACAGACCCCGTACGTGGCCGGGTACGTCCCGACGTATGAGTGGGAGATATGATGGTAAGATGGCTGGTGAGAATGTAGCCAGGCCCAGCGTGAGGTCGCACGCGTCTTTGGATTAGCCGGCGTGTTGACAGACCCCGTACGTGGCCGGGTACGTCCCGACGTATGAGTGGGAGATATGATGGTAAGATGGCTGGGGAGAATGTAGCCAGGCCCAGTGTGAGGTCGCACGCGTCTTTGGATTAGCCGGCGTGTTGACAGACCCCGTACGTGGCCGGGTACGTCCCGACGTATGAGTGGGAGATATGATGGTAAGATGGCTGGTGAGAATGTAGCCAGGCCCAGTGTGAGGTCGCACGCGTCTTTGGATTAGCCGGCGTGTTGACAGACCCCGTACGTGGCCGGGTACGTCCCGACGTATGAGTGGGAGATATGATGGTAAGATGGCTGGGGAGAATGTAGCCAGGCCCAGTGTGAGGTCGCACGCGTCTTTGGATTAGCCGGCGTGTTGACAGACCCCGTACGTGGCCGGGTACGTCCCGACGTATGAGTGGGAGATATGATGGTAAGATGGCTGGTGAGAATGTAGCCAGGCCCAGTGTGAGGTCGCACGCGTCTTTGGATTAGCCGGCATGTTGACAGACCCAGGGGGGGGCGGGGGGCGTCCAGACGTATGAGTGGGAGATAGGATGGTAAGATGGCTGGTGAGAATGTAGCCAGGCCCAGCGTGAGGTCGCACGCGTCTTTGGATTAGCCGGCGTGTTGACAGACCCCGTACGTGGCCGGGTACGTCCCGACGTATGAGTGGGAGATGTGATTGTGTGAGGGCTGGTGAGAATGTAGCCAGGCCCAGCGTGAGGTCGCACGCGTCTTTGGATTAGCCGGCATGTTGACAGACCCAGGGGGGGGCGGGGGGCGTCCAGACGTATGAGTGGGAGATAGGATGGTAAGATGGCTGGTGAGAATGTAGCCAGGCCCAGCGTGAGGTCGCACGCGTCTTTGGATTAGTCGGCGTGTAGACAGACCCTATACGAGGCCGGGTGCGTCCCGTTGTATGAGGGGAACTATGTGATGGTGTTTGTGTGTTGTGATGGATAAACCCTAGAATGTATGAATTTGTATGGATGAAATGGTTTGTTTGATATTAGGAGCCTTGATTGATAGGAAAGAGCTACGTGTGGCTTGATCCCTTAGTAGGGTACGTAGGCAGCCTGGGATAACGCCTAGGTGCAGCCACGACCTAGACACCACTTAGGTGGTTTTATCGAGTATGATGTGGACCTCGTGGTTGGTCCCGAAACTTGGTTGAATTGAGGCTTGTCCGGTGGACTGAGTGAGTGAAGGTGTGTATAGATAGATTTGGAATTTGTTATATGCATGTTTGATGCATGGAGTTACTTTAAAAGCAGTGTGAGTAGTTCTGCTAGAATCATTTGAATTCCTCGATGAGTAGGAGATGCCCAAAACAACTCTCTTCGAAGGTTCGTAGCTGTTGCTCACTGAATTTCTCTTTTATCGTACTTATTGCACTCTTTGTATGGGATAGCGCCAATGCTTTTCCTTGGAACTTTTCTTCCTCTCCAATCATCAACTTAATTGGCGAAACCATGTTTCCCTGCACGGCATTATTATTAAAAAAAATTCAGTCCGTTGCAATCTGGACAATAACAAGCAATACACAATTCAACGGCCTATTATAGGATATTAAGTGAAAATTAAACACAAATTACAGCACATGAACCACAATAAATTCCCACACTAAATATGCATCATAAAATGAAACTGAAAACACGCATCACAAACGAACCAATCCGACACGACAAATAGCAACTTGAGGCACTTCGTCATCCATAGCATGAAAATCAATCAGACCAATAGAAGTTTCATCCAAGCATGAAGTAATTCACAGTTAAAATACAGAAATTTGCAATCTCTCTAATTACTAAACTTCACAAAATCAGTCA